TTTATATAAGTATATGTGTATATACATATATATATATATATGTGTGTGTGTCTGTGTCTGTGTGTGTGTGTGTGTGTGTGTGTGTGTGTGTGTGTGAGTGTGTGTGCGTTTGTATATATACTTTTTTTAGTCTACGTCTTTGTCTGTGTCCGTGTCTGTGTGTTTAAGTGTGTGGGGGTGTCTATGTTCATGTGTGTTTGTGTGTGAGTATGTGTTTGTTTTTGGTTAGTTGTTTGTCTGTGACTGTGCTGTACGGTCTACTCGTACCATATCCCCTTTCTCGTGTCCAGTCCCAACGGATTCAATTTCGTCACACTTTATCTGGCGTCAATCTATCTCGTCAATTCTCTTCATTCGAGTACAGTCGTGAGTATTATAAAATACACGTGTTCACATGTATTTTCATATGTTGCAATACAGGTGAAGGACCCCAGTATAGTGGTTTTCAGTGGTGGCACAGCCTTTAATGGAGTGTGTAGAGAAATGAGCCGGTTGTCAAACAACGTGGCGTATATTATGCCGGTATCAGACGACGGAGGCTCTACTAAGGAAATCATTCGAGTGCTTGGGGGACCCGCCATTGGTAAGTTACACACACACGTGTGCTCAGTACTCACAAAGTAGAGAAGTTACAGGTAGCTTCAAGTCTCTTTACAGTGGACGGTGTATAGAATTATCAATTCCCCATCGTCTGCTGCATACTGCCTCAGAGGTCTCAATTGAGTTTCATATCTATGTTACACACATGTGCTAAGTACTCACAAAGTAGAGAAGTTGCAGATAGCTTCAAGTATCTTTACAGTGGACGGTGTATAGAATTATCAATTCCCCATCGCCTGTTGCATACTGCCTCAGAGGTCTCAATTGAGTTTCATATCTGACAGGTTAGAAGTTTCTGGGTGTTGTGTTTTTTTATATCTGAGGTTCGGAGTGGTCATATCTGTTTACAGCCCCACCTCCGTCCACGAATACACTATCCAACCTTAGCAAAACATTTCAGCTATCAGTGAACCATAACAAAGTACTACAGCTATCAGTGAACCATAACAAAGTACTACAGCTATCAGTGAACCATAACAAATTACTACAGCTATCAATGAACCATAACAAAGTACTACAGCTATCAGTGAACCATAACAAAGTACTACAGCTATCAGTGAACCATAACAAAGTACTACAGCTATCAGTGAACTATAACAAAGTACTACAGCTATCAGTGAACCATAACAAAGTACTGCAGCTATCAGCGAACCATAACAAAGTACTATAGCTATCAGTGAACCATAACAAAGTACTACAGCAATCAGTGAACCATAACAAAGTACTACAGCTATCAGTGAACCATAACAAAGTACTACAGCTATCAGTGTCGTTCATAGTCACGTTAAAACGCCTCTGAAGGATTCTCGGCGCACATGATACCGCTGCAAATGACATGCAGAGAGCTCAAGCGGTACGTTTTGCTGACAATATTGCGTTTGAATTGCAGGCGATGTTCGTTCTCGATGTCTGCGGCTCAGTGACACCAGTACGTACGAGTCGCGTGCTGTGCAACGCATTCTGGGCCATCGGCTCACGAGCGAATCTAAAGCGTAAGTTGCGGATGGGACGTACGCTTGGGGTGTTGCTCGGCTGTGTAACATGTCATGATGTTGATTGTGTGGGGTGTGTCATTAGACAAGCCAGTGGTGTTGTGTAGTATTGTGCCGGCCTACCCGCGTTTACACGAGTGAAGCCTATCGCCAAGATGCTTGCAAAGAGAGATGTAGTACTGCTATTCAATCCGGGTAGTATGTATGGTAGAGCATTCCACCTTCATTCATGAGACTGGAAATCTAGCCAATATCAACACTGTATGCGCAAGTTTTGTTTCATAGGAACATTTGACATGCTGCAGATCGGCGTAAGGCACCAAACGTTTATACCCTAACACTGCGTTACACACCGTGTTATCCAGCACGCTTCCTTCTCGTATATTCAATCAGCGTATGTGCTTGGCAAGTTGGTCCGAGGCACGGGAAACACAACGGACTAGCGTTCTAGTCTCAATCCTCTCCCATGTGCCAGTGTGTTGTGTGTGAAACGTATGCACATACCACGCCCGACAGCGCCCCAGGCAGTTCATGAGTTCTATATTTCGTATAGACTATATCCGAGCCCGGTTTCCCACAGATGCATAAAATCCCACAAAACACGAGTCTTTTAGTACCCATTCTGTGCTGCGAATAGTACATTTACATAGGGCAATGCATTGAGGTTGGCATTTGGATGTCTTTGCCTATTTTATCAACTCGCATATACATAGCTCATCTGCAGCCTACATATTACATCACTCACGCTTGTCTTGTTTGTTTACGCACGGCTGTATATCTGTTCTGTCGATCGTTGCAGGCTGGCGAGGGCCGAATTTTACACCGTGCTTGAGGGCGAGCATGTCGAGTGGGCTGGTATATCAGATTCGTACAAGCAAATCATCAAATCTTATTTAGTTAACTTCCATCAGGTATATATCATCAAATCATAATATGTGAACTTACACGAGGTAAAAGTCATCAATTCATATTTAGGATAACTTACACGGGGTTAAAATCATCAAATCATATTTAGTTAATATACACCAGGTATTGAACATAGGCAGTGGACCGCACGGGGTTGTACTCTGCTGCATATCGTTAACAGAGGTGGTTCTACAGGTACCCCGGGAAGCCTGTAGGATATGATAGGATATGATATAAGGGTCCATAAGACTAAACTCCATCCGATCGTATCTCTGGTCCTATATGGTCACCGAGTATATCGTTGCATGCTCGATTGTAATCGTAACCATTCTTTCAAACGACGATGGTCCGTTGTCGTCTTCCCTAAATACGCATTCAGGGCCACATTCATAAGAAAGGTGTATCGTAGTAGGCGCAATAGGGGGTGTCACGACAAAAATCTGTTTTGCAGGTGTTGAGTCATTTGTTTGGTCCCATGTATATGTCTATCTGAGAAAGTTGAACTCGGATCGTGGGACAGGGCCGGTTTGCATGTATATGATTGCTATTTGGCACCTTGCAATCCTTATATATATATATATATATATATATATATATATATATATATATATATATATATATATATATATATATATATATATATATATATATATATATATATATATATATATATA